TTCAAATGCGTCGTGAGCAAGTACATTGTAAGTTGTGCCCGTTCATAGTCACTGTCGAACTGGTCAAGCTTCTTGGAATATCGATCTGGATCCAGCAAGTAATTGGAGACAAATAGTCCACAATCAAACCTGTAATATAACAAATAATTACCATGGTCATGATGCGAACAAATAATTATCGAACTTAATTAGAACAGTGCACGATTGAACAACAACAAAGGGTACCCATTTGGTTGGCAAGCAACATCCCGGCGATATCTAACCACAAAGTCCACAAATGAAAACGTCCCGCAGATATCATCCTTAAGCAACCAGTCTAGACCCAATTTCTGCAAATGAAAACATCCCCCTCATCGATATTTAACGACAAAATGAAAAACGACTAACAACTAAGCAATAAGTCAAGTTTTAAAACTTGAAGAACAAGAAGCAAACCAGTTTATGCATCCTTGCATCATATTCTAGGTTATGAATTCCTGGTATTGAGTCCCAGATTTCAATTTCTTTGGCTTCCATGTTAAAGACCGCCAGATAGAAGTGGGACACCGTGAGGTTGAAAATTGGGACATGAATCTGAAATAATGCACAAACAAACAATAATTATCAATTTAACATAGGAGTGTGAAGCCATTTCCTTTTAGAAAACAACATTACAACATACCTTACTGCAGTAAAGTAGCTCACTTATACGGTATCGCTCAAGTATCTTATATGACCGCATGTTTTCCATAAATTGCTCCTCGTTTTTGCAATGATATGCACGATCCTAGAAAAATAAAACACAGTTACCCACACAAGCTACATGTAACAAACAAATAGATTAATTTCATGACAAGAATAGACAAAGCAGACAACTGTACCGAAACTGAAGGTGGAAAGAACCAAGACACTCCACCACTGCGACCGCAACTTCGTTCTTCTAGTGTCTTGCACAGACATGCCATTTCTATAATCTAATGCATCATCATCACATATACCAAAGTCAGCAATACAAGTTTAATCTACTAAATTACACACATAAAGGAACTCACCCTTGTTGAAATTTTGGTCCTGGGCAAAAACTCGACCAAATCTTCACGTAACAACTCAAGAGCCCCGCCATCAAGACGAACCAATACGTCCCTGTTATACAAGACCAAGTTCAAACACCACAACATTAGAATAAGGCAAATACCAAAAATTTCCTACAGATATGATCCAATCTTACTTGTAATGATTTCGGGAGGTACCTTTCGGGAAGCGAACTACTAAAAGCAAATTGAATCATCTTTACTGCCTCCAGAGTCAATGGTGTCTGAACAACAAAGGGAGGAGCACGGTACAAAGGTTGTCCTTTCTTAGCTCTGGGATTTGCACGTTCGAATGGAGAGACAACATACAAACTAGGCTTCAATTTAGATACACTACGTAGTCCACCTCCCTTTCGCCCCTTTATTGTTCAAAAACATAAAAACAAAACAAGTTCATTAGTAACCACACCATAAGTACAAATAATTAGAAAACTTAATAAAGTGTAATACCTTCACAGTCTTGGCACAACCATCATTAGCAGCAACACTTTCATCACTCAACAATATGAATTTCTCAACTTTAGACGCTTTCGCCTGCTTGCAAGGAGACTTTTTCACAACTTTGACAGAAGGAGATTCAGAACCGCAGTCATCTCCAATTTCCCCCTCAGCTTCTCCCCAATTCTTAACACCTAACCCTTGAGTCTTGACAGATTCGGAGGTAGGAGAAATGGGTTCACTTGGTTTTTCAACCTCAGCCTTCTGATTGCCCTTTTCCCCTCTGATAAGCTGCTCCGTTGACAACAAAACAGCTGCAGAAGCTTTCACATTATCAGCCTCATCCTTCTGATCGTTCTTTTTCAACTCAGTAGGCTGCTCCCTTGACAACGGATCACCTATAGTTGCTTTCACTGCCTCTATAATGGACTTCACTTGACTACCAATTTCGTCTCTAAAAGCCCGAAATTCGTTCTCCATATTCACAACCCGACTCATTAGCTCATTCTCTCTGGAAGCAGCATCACCCATTGCAACTCTAAATTCTTGCCTAAAGTTGTCAATTCTACCCTCCATGGTAGTAAACCGAGCGTCAATACGCTCACAGAGAAGCAGCTCATCACCGTCGGGTTTTTGCCGTTTCCCATCTCTTTTTTCCCGTTTTCTTGCAGGTGATTTCAAACCTACATCCTCAGCTGATCTTTTACCCGAACTGCTGGAAACCTACAAATTAATTAAAAAGGGAACCAAATGTACCATTAGCATGCTCCAACTCGTCAAAAGAATCAAATATACTATCAGTCTTACCACTTCTGTTAACAATAACTCCACGTCTCCGCTCCCCCAGCTCAACAAATCCAAACTCCTATCAATAGTTTCGAAAATACCATTTGCATGCTCCAAGAATATTAACTACAAAAAAAAAAATACTATAATCAACATGATGATTAATCATTACAAATATGTAGAAAGTAGGGATTAGCAATTATTTACCTCCAAGAACAGCAAGCAACCCGGTATATACTTTCTCCCCTCAGCATTATGGTCGCAGATGCATTTGACCAATTCATTGAAGCAAAACGATGCCCAATTCTTCTTCGGAATATCGGCAACATCGAGGACAGCGTATACCGAAGATAACGAAAAGTCATCTCTTCTAGTTGGTACTAATAGCACCCCCATTACGTACAAAATAAACGTTTGAAGAAATAGATCACCGCTATCTTTCATCTCCGACAAAGCCTTCCGCATTAAGCTTGTCGAAATCGCCTGTCGGGCACAATCAACTGTCGAATACACTCTAAATGGATTCAATTCCTCGGATCTTCGTCCCACTTCTTCACCATTCAAGATGATATCAGTACCTCCCTCAGGCACGCCCATAATTCGCTCGAAATCTTTGGCCGAAATATGGACTTTCAACCCATAAGCCTGAATTGAGCTTTCTTCCACATTAAAGCTCTTCAAAAGGATCTCCAACAACTCACGTTGGAGCATTCTTCCTTTGACTTCAAGCATACGACCAAAGCCACATCTCTTAATGGCCTCTGATTGACAAGCCTCTAAATTTGAGACTACTGAGAATACTTTCCTAGGAGAACAGCGGGTGCTAAAAATTTCATGACTCTTCGTCTTCATTATAGAACAATTTTAGCAAACTGCAAAATTAAAACAACAAAAAAATTATAAGCATGCCGAAGAGTACTAACAAAATACACAAAGCCAGAGTCATCCACCACTGATCTAAAGAAGCAACTTTCAGTTTTCACACTTAAACACATTCGAGAAAACATGGTCATGACAAAGTTTCATTCGAGAAAAGGATCATTTAATCATTCGGTAAACACATTCTCCAGGTAATGAGTTCAATCCTGGTTTTCAATATATGGCTTTTATCAATATTGAACAAATGCAAGACTATACCAGAGCTCACAAGCACACTTGCCTCGATATCAAGTTCTAACTACCAGAAGAACTGAAAACCCCCTACATCAACACCTGAGTACACTAATTAACCATGAAATCCGCCATTGGCATATATAAATTTCACCCAAAACACCCAGCTTCCATTAAATTTCACCCAAAATGCAAATTCTCACGGCCGTGACATGACCCGTGAGAAGCAAAGAGTAGTTTTTATATCCCAGACAATCTCACGGCTTTGGCTTCAAAAATCACGGACGTTAAAATAAGCCGTGAAACTAAAAACACCTTGTATGTAAAAATGGACTTCTCACGGCTCATCTTTAAATATCACGGGCGTGAGATTAACCCGTGATATGGGCACAGCTGAAACTCAAAAACACGCCTCACATCTGAAAATCTCACGGCCGGGAGATGAACCGTTAGATTTTTTTAAAAAAAGGGGGAGTTCCAGGGGGTTTCACGGGTTGGGTTCGACAGTATCACGGCCGTGAGATGAGCCGTGTTTGTGTAATTGAAATGCTGGACTTCTCACGGCTCATCTGTTAATCTCACGGGCGTGAGATTAACCCGTGAGATGGTCACAGCTGAAACCCAAAAAACACGCCTCACAACTTAAAACTCACGGCCGGGAGATGTGCCGTTAGAATGTTTTTTAAAAAAATGTAAGTTCCAGGAGGTTTCACGGGTTATATCACGCCCGGGACAAAAACCGTGAGATGGAACCCTCAAATTGGAAACACCCTATTTACTTCCTCTTTTCTACTTGAACCCGACCCCCAACCGTGAAGAAAGCAGCTAAAAGGTTGTCCAAAAAGAATAAACATCATTTAGCAAGTAAAGCAGGTGCAGAGCTAAACTTCTATTCTTCTTCCAAAATCACATCAACACCTTCCGTAAGTCTAGACTTGGCTAAGTAGTTACCAAGAAGAACGACTTCAATGGGACAATATTGAAAATCCATCTTTATTTCTTCCCAAGTCTTTAGATGAACTAAAAATCCAAAATATCCTGCAAATAAAACAAAAGCCACTGAACATTTGTAACCTTCTACCCGCCATTTCCTAGGTTGGGGACAAGATGCAGCAGAACAGTAGTATTGATAAAGCATCATGGAACTTTAACATTTCATTTTCCTCAATTCGTTAACCAACATACGATCACCACCTTCATTAGAAGCAGCATAATCAGTAGCTCTGAAAACATAACAAATACACGAGCTTCTAACAATTTGGAGCAGTATGAAGTAGGCAAGAAAAAGATGCTGTTATGCGTTACAATGAGGTCTACTGATTGTATCAAATGTTCCACCACGATACCAACGCTTGCTAAAGATTCTAGAATTTTGATCAGTCATATAAAATGAGATCGAGGCACGGAATGTACAATAAAGAATAAAACTGGGAGTACCTCCCAAGCTGCCGTATATTCTAAGGCCAACAACCATGCTCTAAATATCCTAACTAAGTTTGACCTTAATGTCTCATCATTCATGGAAGCTCTTTTACCCACTGCACTAAACTTCTTTTCTACATTATATACACAATTCTAACTCCACAGACAGTCCCTTCGGATACATCCGATAACTCCACAAACAGAAAACTCATACTATGAAGTGAACAGTTAAGATAAGCATGTCTGTTGGTTAATCGCATGCTTGGAGCCACTAACCATAGCAAAGAGACTTAAATCAATCAAACAAATCATGGTCTTCAAACTTAACTACATTCATCAATTGGCTAAACAGAGAAAAATTCCCAACTTTCTCAGTGAACACGGCCTTTCTATCTACCATATCATATCATATCAATCCTCCCACGAAGAAGATGGAAGAACTACAACAACAACATCCATCCAAAGCTTCCTCACCAAAGGAAGCATCATCAACAACCACAACCACAACCACAACAACAACAACCAGAACTGCTGTGAATTCTTCAGACTCGAATTCTTCTACCCTAACAACAGAAGAACCCAATGCTCCTCCTCAACAGAAGAAGATTGAGGAACAACAACAACAACAACAACAACAAGAGCCTGCTAAGGATGTTGCTGAAACGGAGACAAATCAAGCACAACCTCAACAGCAAAAACAAGGTGAAGAGAAGGTAAATGCTGCAAATTCTCCTTCAAAACAAGTGAAGGAACAACAGGAACCGCCATTGCAGCTAATTATCAAGCTAAACACAAAGAAGATAGTACTAACCGAAAAAAGTTGCGGTGGAGGAGGGGTTTTGTGTAGAGTCTTCGTTAGCTATCGATGGGAAGAGGGGTTTTGTGCAGAGTCTTCGTTAGCTATCGATGGGAAGAGGGTCTTCGTTTGCAATCGACGAAGAGATGCTCGCTCTCGTCGTCCCTTGCTCGCCGCCTTCACTGTCGTCGTCGGAATCCGGAATCCGAATCGCCGCCTTCACTGCCGCCTTCTACTCGTCGTCACCCACTGCTCGCCGTCTTCACTCGTCGTCACCCACTGCGTGGAGAGGATCGCCGTCTTCACTGCTCGCTAGCTGCGTGGAGAGGATCGAAGGAAGGAAGAGGATCGAAGGAAGAGGGGTTTCGGCGGTGAGAAGAAGAGTGTAATTGGTTTCGAAGGAAGAAGAGTGTAATTGGTTTCAGACAACCGGTTGTACCGGTCATCAACACACAAATAAAATAATAAATTAATAATTTAAATGAAATCTAATGGTTGATATAGTTTGGACATGATCTAATGGCTGTAAATGTTTTATAGTACCAATACTATAAAGCACACTAAAATGCCTCTAGTTAGAGTTAGAATTAGAATTCTGGAAAAGGTGTCCGAGCCGTCATTTTAGACTAGGATTGGTAATTCTGGCCGCCATTTTCGGATTACCCGTACAGCTCCATTTCTTGAGGCGGATCCAACTAGAGTGTGGTATAGTGGTCAAGAATTTAGTTTCCTTGAGTCGAACTTAGTTACTCTAGATTCACTTCCAAGGGTCCCTTTTATTTTTGGACTGCAGCAGCAATGAGCTAAGTTGAACAAAGTCCAAGTCATTTTAAAGTGGCACATCATGAAACAAACTTCATATCCATATCGAGTTCACTTAGTGCATTAAGTAAAGTTTATAACCACATACTTCATAAATTTTCAACACTCTTATAAGCTATACGTGATTTAGCTTGAATCGCAAGAGGCTGTACGTTATACCGATCAATAACCCAAACGACTTCGGATGGTTGGTTGAAACTTTAAAAACAAACCATTTTCCCCCCCACAATGATGCTTATAAGGTGTGACCAAAATGTGCACATTGCGATTCGATTGTGTCACTACTACTAAACATACGTGAAAATCAACCATTTCATCCATCAGTATCCATGGCAAATGAAAATCGGAAAGTAAGCACAATCGTGACACATGGACGTAGAAATGAACATAACAATTCAATTAAAACTATACATGCAAACCTGCTATTTTCAATACACAGAAAAACACGCACATCATGATCTATCCTTTCTTTCTTTCCTTCCAATTCCCAGTTAGATTTTTCTTCATCAAAGTTTTACATACTTAAAACATATCAACGTCGTTGCTCTTTCTTTCTACACATTCTTCGTCCCACTGGCTCCCCTCACCATCGATCCAACAACCCATAAGATCCATGCTCACCCATCACGCCAAGCACAGCTGCGACCGCAGCACAAACGGTGAACAAACTGACTTGATACGACCTGTGACCCGCACCTTTCATCGGAATGTGTCTCGGCAATGCACACTCCTCGCCGTTAAATATCACCTTCTTCGGGAATCCATCCCCGCGGGGAATGTTGATTCCCGGGGTCTGCTTCTTGGTGAAGGAGATTACCGACTGTTGCTTCCCTGGGATTCTGGGATCCCAGGGCCGCGACCCGTTGGTCTCCCCCACCAGGTAGTTCAGACCTTCCAGCCCCTGAAAAAATATGGTCTTGTTTAGCCTGGGCAGCCTGGTCCCATTGAACGAGTACACGTTCTCGTACCCCGGGTAGGCCCTCCCCATCTGTATCGCCGCGAACCAGTCCTGAAACGGGACTTGCTCCCAGTTGAACAGGGTTATCCTGGCGGTCCACCCGCTCGCGTAGTCCGAGTTCACGTGCCAGTTAATACTAACCGGACAGTTGTCCGGGCAGGGCCTCGGGTAAGGCACCCTGCGGTGCTTCAACCTGGCCCATGCAATCGCCTTCCTGGTCCTGTTCTCGAACGGGACCAGGAGCGCGTCGGGAGGCAACAACATCGGGTCGCCGGTCTCTCGACAGCCCGTGTTGTCCTCGCACCCGCACGCGCACGTGTTGCAGGGGATGGCCGAGTCGTTGTAGTAGGCGGAGAAGGAGACGCAGCACCGCGTCTGCTTGGCTTTGGGTCGCGTGATGTTGCAGGCGACCGACCACGTGGCGTAGGCCGTGAAGGTCGACTGCAAACCGTTGGGGTCGGGGAAGTTGGTCGGTTCGATTCGAACGGGCGGACCGCATAAGTACTGGGAGTTGAGGATCCCCTTGATCTTCCACTTGAGGGGCGGTTCGAAGGCGGTTCGATTGAGATTGGGAGGGAGTTTGTAGACCTGCATCTGGAAGATGGCGCGGGCGCGCTCCTCGTCCATGATTGGAGGGAGGAGGGTGCCGTTCTTGCAGCAGTAAGGGAGCTTGCCGATCTTGGGGTCGTCTTTTTTCTCGGGCGGGAGGTCGGAGATGATGGGGTGCTTGTCGCAGCTGCTGACGGTGGAGAAGTCGAAGTCCTGGTAGTATTTGCCGACGGGGCCGTAGATGCATTGGGCGAGGTTGCGGGTGCGGGTGTAGGCGCCGCGCATGGAGTAGATGAACTCGTCGTGCTGCCACTCCCAGGTGAGGTTCCAGTGGTCGAGGCGGCCGAGGGGGTTGTTGTTGTCCATCGTGATCTGGGCTTGGTAGTTGTTCCCCCAGGCTTGGAGGATGTCGTAGGTGAACACCAGGTCGCCGTAACGGCGGGGGAAGAACTTGATCTTCTTGTCCTTGGGCAGTTTCTTCTTTGCCTTGGCCTTTGGATCCACCCTGCAACACACCTCCATGTAGGTTTTGCCTGCACTTGTTTTTGTACAACATGCATGTTAAAGATGAAAATACAAACGAAACAAGCATACAGATCATGTTATCGTGTACAAGTTGAATTTGTACTTCTATTAAAAAAAATTTGTACGAAAAAAGTATAATTACAAACTAAAATTGTACCATAAATCGAAGATACAAGTTCAGTTTCCACCATAAAAGTACCAACATAAATATTAGTAGAAATTAAATTTGTAACATAACGTCAAAGATACTAATTTGGTTTGTGTCGTCTAACCCATTGTTAACGAGAGCATAATACTAAGCAGTGGAGCCGATGTGTCCAACCCAGTATTAACGAACAAACTATCTAATCCCAATAACTCGAGCTGCTAGGAAAATGTCTGTATGAGTTTTTATCTTTTCAGTTTGCACAGATTCATCATAGATCTATTGTGCTAAAGCGTTGTTTATATTAGGTGTCCTACCATGACATCTAAATCAAACATTTTGCTACCAAATATGTAAATCATATGTATGGTAAACTCGAGTTGCTGGAAAAGGGTTTGTACGCGCACCTTTCTTTCTGGGAGCGGGGCACTTATATCCATCGTTGACGAGCTTAATGGTCCTGGGCATGGGAACAGCTTTCGCGTTCAGCCCAAACTGCGTCCCGGTGATCACAATCTGGGCCATGATCTGCGTCATATCCCCGGCCGTGTCGATCGAGCTCTTCAGATCGGGCATCGTGGTCCCCACAAACGTGGCCCCCTTCCCGATCGACGTGGGCAGATCATCACCGTCCAACAGTGCGCCGCCGTCGGCCGAGACGAGGATCTCCCGGTTGTGGAACCCGATGAACATCTCCCACGCCTTCAGCTCGTCCTCCCCAGTGTTGAATATCGCCGCCGTGGACTTGAACGCCCACGCCTGCGCCGTCACGTTCTTCACGTGCGGGAACTCTTTTTCCCGCGACGTGAACGCGTAGGTCAGGAACACGCCGTTGCACCGTGCCAGCCCCGGCGGCGGGGCTATCTGGGCGGCGTCGCCGCCTCCGTCTGCTCCTCCGCCGTCGCCGTCGCCGCCTCCGCCTCCGCCAGCGCCCGCGTCGGCGTCCTGGCCTTGGGAAGCTTGTAATTGCAGCAGTATGAGGATGGTGGTGATGAGAATGGATTTCCAGGGAACCTCCATTCCCAAATTGGAAACCATAGAAACGACAATTTGTGGATTTCGTGGCCTCCCTCTCTGCCTTTCTATTTGTTTTCTCGATACGTGAAATTCTGGCAGTTCAGAGAGAGAGAGAGAACGACGAAGGGGGGGATTCACTGAGAAGGAAAACCCAGATCGGATTAATGTTGTTTGTTCTTAAATTAAGAGGAAATTCGGGAGACTCGGTCGTCGGGATGGATGGGGAATTTCTGGTGTCTGCGGCTCCGCTCATTATTTGGCGGGTGATTTGTTTGTCGGATTTTAATCTCCTCCTTCCCTCTGTGAAATTTCCTTCTGTTTTGGTATTGGTTTTTTTTTGTGCGGAAGTAATTTAATGGAAACATAACCAACTCTGCCATTTTAGGATCCATTAAACTAACTGGAGTCCAGAACTTCTGTACGGTAGGGTATAGTTCTCACTGTCGACAGTTCGATTATTTATCGACCACTGCCGAATTTGATTGAGTGACATTATCATGACGGCATCCTCATTTTCCCTTCGTTTTGTTTCCTTCTTTATTTTCGCGCTCTATGTACCTGATCTTGAGATTACGTATATCGTCAAACAGCTATTGATCATTTGAAATGACAAAGTTAACATTCAAACACGAGTATTTTGAAAACTGAGCCGAGCCGATCAGATAACGACATAAATCTATCAAGCTAGCTACGGCTCAACAGTACTTGCTAGTTGCTAGCTTCCCAATCCTGTCACTAGTTTCCCTTTTCTCGATCTGTTTAGTCTCTTTCAACTAATTTACACAACTACAGTAATGCCTCGTATCTCATCCTTTGTCATCTGACACTAACACTGCTTCTCTCAGTCATTTTCACGAGGCCACAAAGGTTAAGCTGCAGGTATTGCCTCGCCGACATCGCTAGCTTCCTCGACGAACTGTGCTTTTGGCTCCAGATCAATGAATTGGTTTGACTTGCTAGCTAGATGTGATATGCTAACCCTCCCTTCGCGCTTGATGTAGTCTGCAACCGCCTTCATCTCTTCCATGGAGATGTATATGTATTTTCCTCGATCATCCATCACACCAGAAAGCCGTCCTGATATATAAAAAAAAAAAAAAAGGGCAACTGTTTAGGATCTGTTCATTCAGGCAAGGAACTCCAGCTGCGGGGCTGCAGATGCTGCAACACCGAACAATACTCAATTGCATGCTACATCGTACTGGCAGTAGCAGGGGTAAAGTTTTAACCTTCAAACCAGAGACAAGCTACAACTACGGCGGCCACCAACTTAAGCAAAGGACATGTCTAAGAGTTACTTAGCCCAGTATATGCAAGGAACGTTGGTGAAATGCATTATTATATAACTCAAGAGCTGCCTACTCATACTTTTTTGGGAGGAAACCCTGCATACTTTCAGATGAAAAAGACATACTGACATGCTAATGCATACTAGGGGGCAAACTACAGGCCAGTGAGGTAGAAAAGGGACAAACAAGAGTCAAAGAAGAAATGAACGAGAAAAGATGTAGCATATATCTTACCCATGCTTTCCAAGTTGGTGATTCGATTGATGCATTCCTGCATTTACAAAATTGTGGCAGAAAATTTCAGAGGAATGATATACTGGCATCTTTGCCCCAGGATATCTAGTATAAGGAAATGAGTAATCACATGCAGGACTTTAAAAAAAAAGTAATCACATACAGCAAAACAGATGAGACTGGTCCCTAAAAATATGAACCCAACTTATTAATAGGGGGTTACATGGCTCTTAGTAAGAATAGGGCGTTACAGTTGGGACAAAAGAGTTAAGAGTAGTTCTTATCTTCTGCCAGCCTTTTGTTGGTAGAGCAATAGGAACATACCTGAGTTCGCATCTTAAATTCTGCAGCAAGATCTTCCAGAGGAACACATTTTTGCTTCTGAAAAATAGAGACCAAGTAAGATAAAGCAAACGAAATCTTAAGAACTTCAAAGCGTCATACTGAACCAACAAGCGTATCCTGATTTGCTTGTGGACTACTTAAGATTTCACGGTGACGTATAGTTACTTATATGAGGAAGTGATAGCTTTGGAATTAGGGTCACGCCGGAGTAGGTTGCATAGACTTGAGAACAGGCAAGCTTGCAGGCTTTATCGAAAGAACAGAATCTCCTAGATCAGGAGTGTAGAGACAAAAATATTCTGCTACCTTTATGTACTCCACAAAATTGGACAGCAGATTTTGATTCCCATCTTGACCTTCGTTCTCCATCGTTCCTTCGTCATCAACTGAAAATGCCACTTTCCATTTCTCAAACTCTAATGCAGCCGCTTCCTCCTCCCTGGCTTTTTGAGCCTTGGCTTCTTCTTCCTGTATGAAATCTAATGAATTTCTTGAACCAGGAAGAAGATTTCCAAAATCCAAAAGGATAAGTATAGTTAAACACAGTCACCCACCAGCATGCGCTCCTTTGCCTCGTGTTCTTCATCCTTCTTCCTCCGCATTTCAGCATAATAGTCTTGTTTGGTCGATCTTGACTCACGTGAAGCTTCATTGGCCTTCAAAAGATACATAACAAATAAGATAGCATACCAACACGGTAAAAAGAAGGGGGAGGGAAGCGAGAACCTGCAATAACGTGGGAGCTGACCAGCATAAGAAAGAAACAGAAATAAAAGGAGTGCCAAACCCACAAAAGTACTCCAGACAAAGCATTCACCAGGGGTAATTTCAATAAGCATGCAAATTTTTTTTTAAACTGTATTTCTTATCGGGATATTCGAAAGTAAGTTAATCATTGTCACATTCTTAACAAATAACAACGGAAAGGAAGCGGGTTCCTACATACAAGAACAAGTGTAACAGAAAGGAGGTTAGAAGATTGCACCTGTCTTTGTGCTTCCCGCTCCTGACGTTTTTTCTCTTTTTTCTTTGATGCTTTAGCAGTATAATACTCATCTGCCCCACCTTCGTCGTCACTCTCATCCACATTGTCTGTCTCAATATTTCATGCATTAGCACACTACTGAATCAGACGTTCAGTTTATTCTGGCATGCAATAATCAGGTCTTGGCAAGCCACTAAAGGGTTCTAGAAAACAGGAATTTAGAATCCTAAGCCTATGTGTTGAGCCACAAACCAATCATAGATTCCCTTCACGAAATTCACACCTTCAGCAAGCCACGACTAGAAATTGGAGTTTCCCCTGTTAGAAACCACTACCAATAGTATCTCAGGTCCTCAATTGAGTCGTAAAGTTGGTCAAATCGGGTGATGAAAGTGAACCTTGTAGATGTAGCATAACCACTAAGAAAGAAAAGTGCTTGGCAGTTCTGGACGCGTCGAAAAGGTAACCACATATTTGAGAAGAGGAAGAGGTAGAGATCATGAGCATAAGCACTCCAACTAGACTAGTCCTCGTGATGGTTTAAGCATTGATCCACATGAACCACCAAAGTAGTATAATCCAGAGCCAGCCAAAACAATGGCCAAATGCACGAAAAGGGATGTATGTTACAAACTGATCTACGCCAAAATGCAGCAGGAACTATAACATAAACCTAATTCCATCTGCTCCGGGGAGATACACCTAATTAAGCGCCATAGACATCACATTGACGTTATCGCCACTACCGTCTTATAGATTTTGAAAGGTGAAAACACCCTAGATTCAATCTTCAACAAGACAAAATATGAACTTTCAAAAAAAAAAAAAAAAAAAACAAGACGAAATATGACGAACCTTCAGCGATTGGTGCCGCAGCCCTCGATGAACTGGCTCCAGCAGCAGGTCTCCGCCGCATGCGAGTCCGAGAAGCCCCAGTGGCCCGGACCACGGCCTCCCTCGGCTGCGACAGAAATCGAACAGTCCCCGTAAGCTAAAAAAAAACCCCTGAATCCGTTTTCTGAACAACCCAAAAACTAGCCACAGAGCGGAAACGCACCTGGGGCTCTTCTTGCTGTTCATCAGGTGATCGAGAATCTTGGCGGCGCTTCCATATGTACAATGGAATTAGACCGACGACGAGGAGCATAGAGAGAATGGCTACGAGCAATTCCTCCATGCTTGGATTCCTTGGCCTCCTGCCTCCCAAAAAAAAAAAAGTAATTAACCACTATATATTGAGATCAAGTCGCACAGAAGGGAAGAGGTTTACCAAACTGAGGAACAGAGGCTGGGGAGCTGAGGATCGGTGCTGAAAATTTACCGGAATTGGGAATCGGAATACAAACGAATCATAAAGAAAAAACAAAATGCAAAGGCAAATTGTGCATTTTCCCATGGACCGAGTACGGTCCATTGTGCATGGGTCTAAGAGTTCATCAAGCACCTTCAAAGCCCAAAAGAGGCCCAAGACAAATGTCCAACTTCTTTTCTTATTTTGACATATGACTTCTTTCTCAATAGCCTCTTGGTTGTTTGCTTGGTGATGAATTTGATGATAGATTCATGGACTTTGTCCAAACTCTATTGTTTGCTTTATGAATTTTGCAGCAACAAATCTGTGAGTCCCATGGACTTTAAGGGTCCAAATCCGTGGGTACCACGGACTTGAAAATTCCACCTCTTTAGGTGGGACTTTCATGGACTTTAAAGTTCATCATTTATGACCAAACTATTCCTCATTTTATCTTTCTCATTCATACCAACAAGGACAATATAGGTCATTTTCACTTCATGCACGCATATCTAATTAAACAAATCCATCATGAAATCAATGAAACAAACAATGGTATTTTACAAGTCCTGACAATTTCTATGTTTAGGGTTGAGAAATGGCCGAACAATTACAGAGTCAGCAGTGTGCTGCTCTGCTCTTTTATATCAGCTCATAATCTGGGATTACAGATAGTTGCCAAGTGTCTCTTTGACAATGGCTGAGTTTAAACACTAACAATGTCTTAACGGCTAATACTCAACAATAATAGAAACGGTGTCGCAGCACCTTTAGGGATAGAAACTATACTAAACGACTTCGTTTCTTCTCCTCTTCTGCAATCCTTCTTCCATATGGATTTGTTTTTCTTCAATTCTGTCAGCCTCCCTCAAGTTGTGGCAGGCAGCAAGACTCCCAACTTGACAAGCAAATCCTTAAGCCTAGCATCCTCCAATCCTTTCGTAAAGATATCTGCAAGCTGGTTCAAAGTGTTGACATGTTGTAGCTTGATTAAACCTGTCCTAATCCTCTCTCTGGTGACATGGATGTCGATCTCAATGTGTTGGTCCTCTCGTGAAATACAGGGTTTTCAGCTATATGGATAGCTGACCTGTTGTCACAATAAACAGTGATGGGTAAAGGAACCTTGACACTCAATTCCTCCAACAGACCCTTCAACCATTGTAGCTCACACACTGTCATTGCTAAAGCCCTGTATTCTGCTTCTGAAGAGGATCTGGAAACGGTAGTTTGCTTCTTAGTCTTCCATGTCAGTAGAGATTTTCCTAGGAAAGTGCAATAACCAGGGTGGATCTTCTAGTGTCTGGACAGCTTGCCCAATCAGAGTCACAGAAAGCAATCAATTTCAATTTAGCATTACTATCAAAATGAATTCCCTGACCAGGTCCATTCTTCAAGTATCTTATAACCCTGTGAGCTGCTTGTAAGTGCTCCTCATGTGGCTGCTTTCGGAACTGGCAAAGCTGTTGAACAGCAAATGCCAAGTCTGGTCTTGTTATGGTGATATAGTGGAGTCTTCCCACTAATCTCCTGTACTGTTCTGCATCTGCCAAAAGAGTACCCTGTGTTGCTGATAGTCTTACTTTATAATCAACAGGTGTTTTACAACCCTTAGACTCCAAGTAACCTGTTTCATTCAGCAACTCTAGGCAATATTTCCTCTGGCACACACTTATACCATTTGCAGTTCTGTTGATTTCCAAACCAAGGAAGTGCTTTAAAGGACCTAGAAGCTTCATCTTAAACTCCTAGCACAAAGCCTTCTTAACCTGTTCTATATCCTTTATAGCATCTCCCCCTATTATAATGTCATCAACATAGATAAGCATTACTACAATTCTTCCTCTGATCCACTTTGTAAACAAAGAATAATCAAATGCAGACTGGCTAAAACCATTTTTCAGAAGGAAACTACTTAACCTTGCAAACCACTGTCTGGAAGCTTGCTTCAGGCCATATAATGATTTCTTCAATCTGCAAACCATTTTCTGTGGACCTGCCTGTTCCAAATCCAAACCTGGTGGTAGTTGCATGTACACTTCCTCATTTAAGTCTCCATGAAGAAATGCACTGGACACATCCATTTGTTCCAATGTCCAATTCTTCACAGAAGCAATTGTCAGAAGAGCTTTTACTGAGTTTATCTTGGCTACTGGGGAAAAGGTGTCTAGGAAGTCAATTCCATAGACTTGTGTGTACCCTTTGGCCACTAGCCTTGACTTGAATCTCTCAATGGACCCATCTGGCTTGAGTTTTATCTTGTAAACCCACTTATTTCCAATTACCTTCTTTCTCGCTGGTAATGGAACTATATCCCAGGTTTGGTTTTCCTCCAATGAATCTCATTCTTCTCTCATGGCTTTTCTCCAGTGCTCATATTTGATTGATTCTTGACATGTCAATGGTTCTTCTAGCTGGATGACACTCAATGCATACTTTCTGTCCTCAGCATTGAGATGATCAACATTTAGAACCATTGGATATCTGCTGGTAGTTGCTGCAGTTTGACTACCAAAAGCCAAAAATTGTAGTGCTGGATCCAATTCATAGTTATCATACTTGCTAGGCAATTGATAACTTCTCTTTGGTCTTGCTGTAGGTGCAAAATCTTGTTGAGGTTCCAGTTATGGTTCTAGCTCAACTACCTCCTGTTCTTCATGATCTACCACTTCATCCCCCTCTTCAGCCGTGGCCAATTCAGGAGATGGTGGAGGCTGAGAATGTGAAGGAGAACTAGGGATAACCAGAGCTGGAGGAGGATTAAAATCCACTGAAGTATCAGTAGGAGCTGGAGAAGTAGTGGGAGGTGAAGGAGAAGAACTCTCAACTGTTCTAAAAGGCAAAATAGACTCATCGAGCACAACATCCCCGGAGATAAGGATCTGTTTGGTGTTGATGTCAAGTAACTTGTACCCTTTGATCCCAGGAGGTATACCTAGCATAACACATTGCCTGGCTCGAGGTGCAAATTTGGTTCTACCTGCAGCAGTAGTACCAGCATAGACCAAACTTCCAAAAACCCTCAGATTTCCAAGAAAAGGAGGTTTATGATAGAGAACCTCATAAGGAGACAGGTTGTGAAGGATAGGGGTAGGCATTATGTTTATCAAATAAACAGAATGTAGTATGCAATCACTCCAGTACTGTAATGGAATACCAGATTGGAACCTGAGAGACCTAGCTAAATTTAAAATGTGTTGGTGTTTGCATTCTACTCTAGCATTCTGTTCAGGAGTGTACACACAGGACATTTGATGTTCAATGACCTCATTCATGAAAAAATCACATATATCAAACTCTTTTCCCTGATCACTCCTAACAATCTGCACTTTGCTGTTAAATTTTGTCTTAACAAGAGAACACAAACCCTTGACAAGATCTCTTGTTTCACTTTTATGATGCATCAGATAAACCCAAACAGCCCTTGAACAATCATCCACAATGGTAAGAAAGTAACTGTATCCATCATAAGAAATGACTGACAAAGGACCCCATATGTCCCCATGAACAAGCTGAAAAGGTTTGTCTTTTTTGGTAGTGCTAATAGGAAAAGGTAGTCTTTTGTGCTTGGAAAAGTGACAAATGTTACAATGATCTACTTTAGAGCTAGTTACAGATGAGTCTATGTGTATTGTGTTGTAACAAGCTAAGTCTATCATTGCTGGGATGTCCTAGTCTCCAGTGCCACAAATCTACTTGTTGGGTGCTAAAGTTGAAGACTCTAGCAGCTTGGCTTTGGTGGTGGTCTGGTTGGTTGGTGATCTGATGTGAGAAGGTAAGTTGATAGAGTCCTCTAATTTCTCTTGCTAAACCAATCGTCCTCTTGTTTAGAAGGTCCTGGATTTGGCAAATGTCAGAATGAAAGTGTAAGGAAAGAGGGTAGTCATGTGTAAGTCTGCTAACTGAAACCAGATTGAAAGAAAAACTGGGCACTAGGAGAACATTGTATAGGAAAAGACCAAATGGTAATTTGACAGTTCCTATATTACTTACTACAACTTTTCAGGAGTTTGGTAAATGAACAAAAACATCTTGAACATTCCTATACCCAGTAAATAAATCTATGGAACAAGCTATATGGCCAGATGCTCCTGTGTCTAATATCCATAAACCATCAAGCTTAAGACCATTGAATTGAATGGTTGAGGATAAGACATATTTACCTGAGTAATTGGGAATGGGGGTAGGTACTGAGAAACAGAATAGGCTTGGTGTTGTATGGAAGGAGAGGTTGGGGGAGAGGGTGAGGTATGGACTGTGTTGGAAGGTGGACCTGTGCTACTAGCACCATAATGCAACAAATATCTCAGCTTGTTCATCTCCTCTGGGGTGAAACCAGGAATAGGATGACTTACCACACTGCTTTCATTATGAAAACTAGATTCAGATGGTGATTCACAGCTACTGGAACTGCTGTGAGACATTGAACCAACAAAGTTTTGAAGACCAAGTTGCACACCACCTGCCTGCTCTTGTTCCTTAACCTTCCTCTTGTAAGTCCAACATTCCTCAATGTTGTGATTGGTCTTCTTGCAGAACTTGCAGTATTTCTTACCCTGACCCTTTTCATTTGACTCATTTGCCTTGGTAGCCTCGGATTGCACTGCAAGTGCCACAGTCTGTGACCTTTTACCACTTCATGACATATTAGCTTTCAAATCTTGTTCATGTTGCAATAAATCATCCACTGCATTTGCTACTGTGGGTAGAGGCTTAAGCATCAGAAGCTGTTTCTTCACTCCTTCAAACTCTGGGTTCAAACCCCTGAGAAACCTGATTAGATAGTCAGTCTCTTGCTTCTGATTATATGCCACCACTGCACTGCAGGGAACTGGGTTTCGTGGAATACAATTGGACTCAACTATAGGACTGTATTCTGAGTATTC